GTATCCATGAACCTGTCTTGATCAGACCGATCACGTGACTCCGCTCCGTATCTGTGTTCTGGTCCCTACCGTAATATCATAACGTCACCAAGAGCAGTTTTCCACGCTTGTTTAATCCGTTTCTTTCTATCCATTTCGATGGAAAGTATAAAGAGGCAACGGACAATGAATTTAAATGAATATGAACTTTCTCTTCTGGGTCGCTTGTGGAAGACCATCCCATCGTCAAAGGAGAAACATCACGATTGGGCAGTTAGGGAGAAAGCCCAACATGCTCAATATGAAATCTATATTGGAAGTCATTTCTCTTATTTCATTCACAATTCCTTAATCTCGAACTCAAAGTCGTTGAAATCGAGATGCTTTTGTGTCAGGAAGGTCATGGACGAATCTGGATCGTCATCATCCATCACAAACGGATGAGACCAGTGTTACGCTTGGTATCTGACTGGCGTTAAGTTGCGGCGCAAATCAATCATTATTCTGTACAGTGCCATGAAATTTCTTTCTGAAAAAGTGTTTCTTTCGCTACAGCGTTAACACTCAGTTGCTAAAGTAAACTTAGTATCCTTAACACGTTGACGACCAGCCTATTTTTGCTTGTCCGCCGCGTGGGACCACGCGCATGTTTTTTGTCAAAAAATGCGTCCTGCCATCAGGACGCATGGTCCCTAATCATAATCTTCTGGAACGTTCTCAACAGTTCCAGATTCATTGAAAAAAAATCTGCATCCTGGCATCAGGACGCATTGTCGCCAACGTGTTAAGACTCTTCTTTTCGAACGGGTTCAGCATGAATCTGAGATGTAACTCCCAGACCCCTCATCCACATTTCTAAGCCTTTACCTGTACAGGGCAAGTCTACGCATTGCGCTGATTTGCCGTGTGCAATGAGCACACTTGCCCCACCTCAATGCGAAATCTTGTGAACCGATGCCTAAATGCAACACTAAGGATGCGAACATGTGTCAAACACCAGATCACTATACTTTTTTGAAACATTCTCTCATAAAAAGTAAATTATGATATTGAGTCATTGCAGCGACTACTATTTACACCATTTACATTACTATTTACAGCGACACATCATATCACATCTGCCAAATTATCATATGCAAGATGAAAAAAAACTGCTTAACATTTTTTTTTTGCTATTAAAACTTCGTTAATCACGAGACCTGGGGCCCATTCCACAGAAGATTTACATGCTACAAGTTACAAGTCTATTACTTGTAGAATCAAGTTTCTGTTCCACAAAATAAAATTTTACAAGGAAGATTTACAAGTACAAGTTCATCCATTTCCAAGCGAATTGAGTTTGGGAAAATTGATTCCGTTCCACAGAGCGAGACGCTTTACAAGTACAAGTCTATAGCCTATATATAAGTCCTATAAGTCTATAGTCTATAAGTACTTGTAGCTCTAATTTCTACAAGACTTTCATGCTTGGTAAATGTATTTTCTGCACTCCTGTGTCTAGCGGAAATTATGGATTTTCCTGTTGCGACCATTGCATAGGACAAGATAAGCATAGTTCTAATGTGGTACAATACAGTAGAGTTGGGCTTATGTGATTACATCACAAAAAACTTGAAAGAATAAAATTCAGCGCCGCAGGAAATGAAATACCTGTCTACATGTATTGCCAGCTAAAGAATGATCGCAGCAACTTTTCTTGGCGCCCTCTATGATAGAACTAGCCTTGAATGTAAGTGTGGACTCTGGTGTACAACTAATGGACTCGAACAGCTTCCCCACTTTGTTGGACATATTCGATTGCACCCTATCTGTAATACGTAGACTCTGACCTTCATGCCAAGAGATGGCATATTCGATTCTGCATATCCAGCTCCTCGTTATATGAGATATCCATATGCTTTTATTGATGAAACCTCTTTTGGTGTCATTCCACGAGTGCTACTCGATAGAGAAATATGGAATGCACTCAGAACTTGTAATATGAGCAGGCTCCAGTGCCTTGTACTTTGCGATTTACAAGCACTAGCGCAAACTCTGTGGAACAGAAAATACAAACACTTGTAAATACAGCCACTCGACTTGTAACTTGTAGCTTGTAAATCTTCTGTGGAATAGGCCCCTGAGGGTCTCCCTTACCTCACGTGGGTGCCAATGATGCATTTCTGATGGAGGGGCAGGGGCTGACGTTGAAAATTTCCTTCCTATTTGATATTCATGAAAAACAGACTTGCTCCATAATATTCTACGAGCTATGGAAAACGCTTGGCCCCTCCCACTTCCGCTGTTTCCTTTTCTATCCTGATTCTGAAAACTTTTTATGCTATGGCTCCTTCATCCACTTCTTCTGCCCTTGCGGAACTCTATTTCTTGGAAGCACCCACACGGATGAGGTGAACAATGGAGGATCTCGAATAACTTTCCTTCCATCCAAACCCTAAACCCATCCTAATAAGGGTAACTCAATGTCCGGTAAATCTCAACGTTCACCATCCTGGGAGATGACGTGGGTAAGTGACTGACATCCGCCTCCATCACTAATGAGGACGCATTTTCCAACCTCTGCTTTCCCTTTTGTGTGCCGCACACATGAGCCTAGTGGGCACTTTTACGTAGCCGGTATATCGGGGAAAAGAGCAAATAACGTAGGAATACCTAGAACTCTTTCTTACAGTTACTTCCAACTATTGTGTTTCCATTCTGTCGCTTGAACGGAGGTTGTCCACTAGACCCTGTGTTGAACGAGTCATCGGATGACCCAGCGATTTCATCACTTATCCAACCCTTTCGAAAGGCCTTCGGCTATACAGAGAATGAAGTGGTTGAGACATGCACAATACCGCCACGCTCCGACCTCAGTTGGGTGTAGGACCTACCCCACAACGGAGGCAGTGAACTCACAGTTAGCTCTAGAAACTGAGCAGTCAATCCCATATTAGTTCCTCCAGTCACCAGCACTTAACCAAGAACATTGGAAAACCAAATTTCAACCTATACTATCAGTAATAACCAGATATTCCTTATATGGCTTCCGCCATATAATGCAGACCAATACATACCACAGCTCCAGTGACCTGTGTATATGCACGCTGTGATAAAAATGCAGCAGAGGTCTATCACCTTACAGAGAACTGCACAAAAAAGTCTTACTCTGCCCTTCTGGGCGAAACTTTGAAGCTTCACGCAACTCCCTTGCTTATCCATCCCAAGATCCACGATGATGCCTGACGCCATTTGTTCTTTTTTGCAGTTCTGACTCGAGACTCTTTATTTGATCAATCAATTTTCATTTCATTTTTACTGTCTTCTCTTGTCCCTATTTTGTTTTACTGGTGCCAAACCTGGCTGAATAAAAACAAATCTTAATCGAGGAATACTTTTTGGAGCGGGCAGCGAACCTTTTGTGAAGAACGATTTTCAAAGAATAATATGACACCTCTCACTTCAACCCACACTCTTAATAAAAGTTTCGTGCTGGGAGTATGGAATTTCATAAAGAGAGCATCTATCAAGGAAGAACATCTATATTGATATTTCTGTAATAAAGATTCAGATTGATTGCTTTGCCCCACCATATGTCTCTCTGCCTTCTCCTATTCTGGTCCCGTCTAAGCATTACAAATTACCTGCATGGGGTCGTGGGTATAGCGGTGTACGCAGATCAAATATTGCGACGTACTTGACTTATTGAGAGGTAGTCACAGGAATCGTACCGAAATGATATTTAAAATATGAAAATTTTTAATAAATCTTTAAATGATTGAAATGAAGCAAGGTGATATCAAAATATAACTTTCGTGAATGAATCCAGAGATCCTGATTTTCCCGAATTTTATTTGGCTAGTTCTATTGTGCATGGATGCCCGCGAATGCACAGGGGTGGCACCAACACCTCGCTGCCCAAAAAGTGAACCCGTTGCTAAGCCCCAACAGATGAGAATCGCTGGCGTGGAGGGGCAGAGAAGCCCGACAGGCGATCATGGGCTTTCCTGTTAAGCACAGCCTAGCAAGAACAACTTTTCATGGGCAATTATCAGCGTATATTCACCCTCCGTTTGCTCCCTCCGTCCTCACGTATCTGAGGGCTCGTCTGCATCAGCAAGTTTTTGCGTAGATGATGAAAGAATACTGCGAAATGAAGTTTTTTTTTTAAAGAAAACTTTCAAAGATCTCCGCCAGAGCATTAAAAATCTTGCGAACATAACTTTCAAAGACGACCTCACTGAGTGAGTTTTCTTCGCAAGTCGAATTACGAAATAAAGTGGCAGGAAAAGCTTTTTGGTTTGGACAAGGCCTTAAGGAATATTGCTATGTAGTATTGAAATTTATAAATAATGTTTGTGCATTATATTTTAGGCTGTCGTCATCATAAGTGTCTTAGTCCGAGTTCATAGATGCGGGGGAGGGGGGGGGGGATTAAAATTGTGTTGGGAAAAATTTCCAACAGTTTTTCGTGGAGACAGGAGTAATTGCTGCCGTCAGACATTTCGAATTGATATTGAATTGGTCAATGGGATCTCCATGATGGTCAAACCTTGATTGGCTGGGAAAGATTATTAAGAGCTATTTGTAACCCCACATGACTCAGAACCGGGGCATACTTTTGAGTGCACTTTCACAAGTACTGACACTCGCAGCTTTCCCCTTACGAAAAGATCCTATAGGATCCTATACGAAAAGATCCTATGAGATATTTGAAGCATAAAATCTGATAGGATTCTCATAGAAATCCTATAGGGTTCGTATAGGATCCTATAGTATTTTTCCTATAGTATTTTTAGTATTTTTAACACGACCAGCCGCGTCTCTTCTTAATAAACGCCAGAGTTTAAAAATATGTTGAGCAATTCTTCTGAGGAAGACAAGAGACAGCTACGTAGGGCATCACTGCGTTTTGTATATATTCCAATATTCCAACATTGCAACAACACTTGCTTATACATAGGGTTGCGCGACTTTAGAAAGACCCTGTATTTCTCCGCATCCATCTTTCACGGCGGAAAATTGAAACCAAAATTTAGCCTTTAACTCATTTCTGGGATGAAGAAATCATAGTTTGTCTTATTGTCCACCCATCTCAGGGCATTATCCCAGTTGTGCACCATCGCCCTACCGTATTGAGATAAATAATAAAAAAAATAAAAATTAAACTCGCATTCTATCATTGCTAGACATCACAACTCTCTGGAGTTATTAGATGGGTCCCATTCGCCCTGGCTTACCTCAGATTCACATCTCCACACGAGGGAAAATTTGCTGAAGCCTTTTCTGAATGGTGTATTACTTTGTAACTTTCTCTGAGATAATCTTTGTGCCCCACAAATCATGAAAATGACTTGACTTTGTTCTCAGATTCAATCTTCCAGTCGGTTCACCGATAGGCTCAGCTTTCAGCGGAATGGGAACGAGTTAACAGTGGTCAACTCAGAAACAGGTAGTGTTGAACGGCACATGTAGGAGGCACTGAAAATTCCCTGAATACAATCACTTTGCACAAATGCATTTAACTGATGAGTTCTATTGACCGATATGAGCAAAACCGAGTGTCAACACCATGGACTGATTTTGAAACCCTCTCGTAGTGTCTAACCTTCCTTAGTGCGGTTGATATAAATTTTAACGCGACAGCGAAACGGATTTGTTTCAAGATCATGCGTCATACAATAATATACAGAACGCATCTGCTTGTGAGCTTTCCAATACGTCATTATGGATATGTAATGTTTAACGCCCTAAACATGAGTCATCATTCAAGTATTTTTTAAAATAGCCTTGAAAGAAAAAACTATTTTTTCAATTATAAATACTGCTTACTTCCGAGCTGTAAGCAACTTAAATGGCTTCAAGGTGCAAAATTCGTGCACACTTGAGGGTTAAAGTTTATCAACACCTACGTGGATTGATTATAATAATATTGATCTCCAGTCATATTTTAAAGATATTTATCCTGACATAAAGCCATTTGGAGCGATTGCAGAGGCCTTTCGCTGCCGCTTCCATCAGAAGGAACACTTCACGAGAAGCACTACTTGTGCTCCCCACGCACGACTTTGATTCTATCCTCTTTTACATTCTTCCATTTTCTCCCTTCCGCTCTTTCATCCTATTATCGATGGAGGACGAGAGAACCATATTAATGGATGTAAAGATGTCTCCACGATGTACTACAAGACCTATTCAATCGATACGATGATGTTGTCAACGTGCAGGAAGCTAAAGGATGAGTCAATGGGAAACAGACTATTTGCAGCCTATACATAAAACGATAATTGTAATGAAGATAAACGAGACCTTGATCTGGCCATGACGTATGGGAAATCCCATGAAAAACGAACCGGAAGGAGATGAATGAACTCGCGGGGCCTGTCTGCTTCTTTTCACCCGTTCTCAAATATCCATACGAGGGAGATGACCTACCGATGATAGTGATCATCCAGACGACCAGGTAAGAGAGTCCGCCGATCCAGAGGATGCAGCATAGGAAGGCGAGAATGTAAAATTTCCTCCAGTTCTTCTTCCTGCAGTCGGGGATGGTGAGAAACATGAGGAAACGGATGGGCCACGTGAGGATCCAGTAGATTCGCCACCCCGTGCTTATGCTGCCCTCTTCCTCTTCTAGACCCGGTGGACACCATCCGTTACAGATCGCGACGGGTTCCGATTTCTCTCCCTCCTCCAAGGAGCTCTCTGTCGAATCACGTCCAGCTTTCACGAATGACGTTAAGAAATACGGCAATGCGATGCGACAGAGGAGTCGGAAACCAGACTGGACAAGAGTGGTGTCCGTTCTCCGTCGCCCTCCGAATCTTGGGTTGCCACTAGCTTCCATCCCCACTCCGAAACCTTCCTCTTGATCCAAAGCTCAATGGATGGATTGAAAACCATTACTGAAGAAAAAGACAGGAAACGGATTGTGACACAATAAATGGAAAATTAATTTTTGAGGAGGATCGGGGAAAGGCTTGCCGATGACGTAGAGGAAGTATGCAAAGAAGAGTATCAGAGCTTCCCACCAGACCACGAGTTCATCATTGATGACGAGAATAAGGATGATGACGGAAACTCCATAGGCCGCACAATCGCGACTGAGGGCCCAGAAATCCACAGGGATCACCTGCATGGACGCATCCGGCAGCCTTTCTTATTATTAATCCCAGGATGAGTTGATATCGCACTGGCGTTGCAATATCCATTAAGTCGATTGCATCCTTCCCTTTGCATGACGAATGTAATTTTTCATGGGTAAATGTTTTCAATTCCAAGGCCTCGTGAAACACTAAGAGAATTAGGTGTATGAGCAGATCGAAGAAAGACGAACCATGCCGGCAAAGAGACCGCACAGAGTGACGACCCCGAGGATGTTGAAGACGGCACTCCCGACGACGGTCCCCAATCCAACGTCCCCTTCCGTCACGAACGTCCCGAGCAGATTGGTGAAAAGCTCGGGAGAAGAGGACCCGGCCGCCATGAAGCTCGCTCCTCCGACGTCCGAGGACAAATCCAGCTCTACCGGTGAGACAGGAACGTCGTTTCAGACGGGGGGGGATCCGCTATCCTATGAGATTGGATTGAATATTACCATCGCAGATGACATCTAGAGACGGGACGAAATATTCGTCGCAGGCGATGGCAATGCCGAGAAATAGGTAGATCCCGATGAGGAAATGGATGATGATCCCCCCGCGACTCCTTTGCGAGGGGCTGAGGAAATCCGGAGGGAATTCCTCGATGGCAGGTGGAGTGCAATTTGAGTTCTGCGACAGCAAATGCCGGCTTCTCACAACCGCCTCCACATCTGAAACTGACAGTTATTTCTACTCGTCGAGAAGAGTCTCGGATTTTATTAAGCAAGGGAGAAATATCCGCGGCGTCGGGTTGTCTCCCTAACGATCAGCCTTTCCGTCTCAGGTGATCAAATCGGAGAGGGTTTACAATTTTGGAGCATTCACTTGTCTCCCTGTTTCCGGTTTCTCGCTCACTCCGTCTCTCTCTCGGCCTGTACGTCGCGCTCTAGTTAGAGGAAACTACGGGATCGAGCCCCTTTCAACGTTCCAAGGTGACAGATTGTCATGAGCAAGTAAAAAGAAAAAATTTGGGTCCCGATCTACATTCCACGGGAGACCCGCCACGTTAGACGTACAGTAAAGTCTGACGACAAGGGGTATTCAACCAGAAGGAACAACCAATCCGATTCTCTCCACATTTTACATGCACACAGAAGTCGATGCGTAATGCATAAATGAGGAAAAATCCCCGACTCGGTCTATCGATCTTCTCTAGGAAAGCCGCATATAACGTCGTGGGATGTTCGCGTCAAGAAAACTGTGGCGCCAATTTACCTGAAACGCATGGTGACAGGACGATTGGCAAGACGAACTTTTTAATTTGTGAAATGCGACGCGAACGATCCCATGGATCTCGGCATGTCGATTGAGGATCATGGGGCGACAAAGAACACTCGAGACGAGCCGAAGGTGAATTGATTCCCGGTGCGGAAATTCAATCAGTCTGAGAAAACATATTGAGTTGGATTTTTTGTGACTTTTTATTGCTTCCGAAACTGTTGGCGGAGGGAAGAACGGTGAAGAGAAAATAACAGGGTACTTTGAAGGTTCTCGAAAATCCCCGAGAACTTCCTCCTCGAGGAAAAGAGCAAATAAACGCACCTCAAGCACCTTTGCCTGTTTACCTTGACGATTGAACCATGCACCGAGTAATAATCAATCCTTTGCTTTGAATATCCCTCATGCCTCGTCTCACTCCACCGCATCTTCGTTAACGCCTGCCAGTGGCCAACCCCCTCAGTTCTCATTAAGAACGCCTTCTTAACGAGCAGCCTTCACGAAGCTGAATAATAAGAATTAGAGAGGTTTTAGTGCGAGATTGCAGTGGATCCCAAATTATGCCTCATCGACAGCATTTCGCAATCTTTCCGCTTAATCAGATTTCCAAGGAGAGAAGAACCATTACATCAACAATCGAATTAGATCTTCCCGGTAAACGCGATTTGCACTTGTCATTTCGTCCACGTCCGGCTCGGTCTCGCAACTCTTGTTTGCTCTCACAAGGAGCCTGGGCGAGGTTGAGGGTTTTCAACGAGACCGGAAAGCGAATTCAATTTGATCTTCTTTTCATCATTAATATAGGCTCAATTTTCACTTAAAGGGGAATGTTGGAATTCCAAGAGAGCATAACCGCAAATGAAGTAAAGATGAAATCCCATATTCGTGAACGTGCCTGAGTCCCTTTTAGAAAGTCATTCCTTCGACTCCCGCTCATTCAGACGATATCGATCCTCGTTGAAATGATCTCCAACTCTTTCCCCTTGCAGTTGCAAGGCTGCCTTATCTTCGGAACGGCTTCACGAAAGTGGTGCAGGTCAAGGTAGAGATCGCTTTCCCACTCCGGAAGCGCACGAACCAGAAGGCTTGGGGTGCACGGAGCGAGCATAGAGTTCCGACATCTTAGCAGCCTCTCTTGTAATAAACTCCAAGAAAAAAAGTTCGGGATATTGGTGTCGCAGGTGGCTGTGGCAGGTCACGTGCATTCTGTTTTGTGATTGTTCTTTTTGTAATCAGTCTTAAATGATTTTTGTTTTTCATTTTTGTAAATAAAGGCAAACATATTCATTCTCAATGTTTGGTCTTTATTTCACTCAGATCATAGAGATTTTATGATATCCCTAACATTATTCTTAGAGTTTATTTATTAAAACCTTTACTCATTTCGGGTGTCCTGTCAATGACCCCTCGACCCGAATAAAGAACGAGCGATTGCAGAGGCGTGAGTCTACGAAAGAGGCCGACTGACAAAACCTGGAGCTGCGATCGATTCCGAAAGCCTGCACCAACACGTAGGCCGTTCGAACGACATCTGTCCTCGACATGCAACTTTTAGGGAGGCCTTCAACGAGATTGGAACGCACAGAAGCGGTGAATACAATGGGCACGTAGGAAGTGTGTCCCAAGAGCGACCCGCCGAGCAAGGAGAAACACCCCCGAGGAAGGTGCCGCAGAAGGAATCTATCTCGGAAGTCATCACGAACGCTGTTCCACATTTTTTTTTCCCTCTTTCATACTACTGCAATCATGGATACTTCTCATGGTCGCCTGCAGGAGGGTCAAATGAAAGGAGTAAATAATGCAAGAGAGAAGAGAGACTGCACGCGTGCCGGAGCTATATGCCCCCCCTGGAGATGAACGTACTTTATCGACTGGTGAAACCGTCAATGGCATTTTCCTCTCTTCAGAGCACTGCATACCATTCGACAAATAATGTGTTCGTGGTTGGTTACGTTACCTCGAGGGTGGTTACGTTTTGCACCGTTTATTTTCAGAGATAATGACTAGTATAGGGAGCGGATTTTCATGCTCTATAAATATGTAAATTATGCTTCTTTCATGCTTTAAAAATGAGGCAATATACGGAATATGCGACGATTTACAAAAAAATGCTCCGGAAATGTTTCAAGGAATGATGGTAAAGTTTTATTTATTCTTTTGGGAACTTTGGATATTGATATTGATTTGGATATTGATTTGGATATCGACATCGTCACAATGACATACCATCATCATTTCAAAATGAATTGAGTCATATTCTGGCAGTTGGATCTAAAATACGCTTTGAATTTGGAAAGAATTGCGCTGAACATGAACATGTGACATAAGGTTACGAGCAAACAAAATTGTGGAACGACATTGGCAGGTGATTTCATTCTTCACGGGTTTGACTCCCTCCCACTAAGAATTTAATTAAAAAACTAAATTGCTCCGAAGTCAGGATCCTTCTGCATCAAGGATTCAAACTTGTCAAAAGCGCTATTTCCAAAAGATCATGGATTTGACTTAGGCAGTTGCATTGATGTAATTCCCCACAGGAGAGGAGCATAAAAATGGTCAAAAGGAAAAAAAAGGAGCATGCTGTAGCAATAAAAACCCTCTCCCTACTAATAACAATGAATCGAGGGGATTTCCAAACCAATCAGAGTTATCACAAGCAGGTTCTCTTCAGATTTGAACAGACTCATCTTCACGGTAGGTGCCCACTATGAACAGGGTCTGGCAAATGTTGAAAACTTAATAAGGCTTGAAATAGCACTTGGTATATAATTTTTGTATGCTTTCTAATCGCGTTTCCTTCTCGTGTGGACAAGCGATGGCCTGAACTCGACAGCCATTATGATTAGGCATAGCTTTGCAATTGAAGTTCACCTCTATTGAGTGACTCATTGAATGCGCCAAGCACATCTGTGACTGTCAACGACAGGTAACCAAGTTTCTCTGCTCTTGCAAGCATTGAATAGCACTCTTCTCCGTTCTAATCAGAGCATGAAACTCACGATTTTAGCATATTTAATGTCTGGATGGTATTGGGACCAAACTAGTAAATTGGCTACAACCAATTTCAGCTAAACTTGGGATTCTTCGTTAACCATGGAGACAGGTTTGTTGAGCTACATCGCACACCAAAAACATAGTCTTATACATACGCTCGCAGTGAAAGGTGAAAGGGCTTCAAATGATACTGAAATGGTGAAAGGCAAGGCAAAGGATGGGCAAACGACGAATCGGGGAGAGAGATAACACGCAATATGCCATGCGGTAAGCTGTAGATTAACGACTGCGTGCAGGTCTCACCTGACACGATTATCGCCCCACGGTGACAATAGCAAGAGTGGAGGACTCACTAGGGGATTCCTCTGCTCCCGAGAAGAACCAATAGGAAAGAAAGACGATGAAGTAGAAGATGCAGGAGCTGGAAACACGGAAAAGAGCGGATCGTCGAGCCACACGCTTCATCCTGAGAACCTTCAGTGCCTCTATACTAAATTGAATCTACCACACGAGACCTTATCTTCTGATAACGACCTCGTTCCCCTCCTCCTCTCATCAACAGAAGCGCAGACAACGCAAATACCACGAAATCCCAGAAAATTGACCTTTGAGCTTGTGGACCGGAAATAGCGACGGAATGCACAGGGTACACTTTATGTGCTGCTCGTTTACTTTGGAAGGAACCAGTCGGTTTTCTCTCAATGCTGATTCATACCTTTTATAAGGAGTGAAGAAGGAGAGAGAACTGGAGAACATTATCTCCGTCAGGCTCTTTGATGGGCTCAGGGATGTCAAATGGGCATATTCTGTCTGCTACTAATGATTTTCTTGGCAAAAATCCACCCCACTATCATCATCATTATCGTTGACTTTAATGTAAGAACTCGCTCTCTCGACTCGAATACTATTTTCCCGCCATATCAGGGGTCGCAATCGATTGTCATATCATGTGGCATCGCCTATCAACTACTGATACACGTATTCCCTTTTCACGTTTCCTTTTATCTTCAACTTGTCATTTAGTCACGTGACAGTGATAGGTTCAATTTTGAGATAAAAATTAATAAAACTGAATTGCCAGCATGATGCACTCTCTTTCCACTTCTGACAACCCTGCGTTTTCCTGGAGTTCTGACATGGGTGTCATCTTAATGCTCCTCTTTTTGAAAAGAAGACCTGTCAAAAATGGACCTAACTAGGTCAGGATCTTGAAAGCCTCAGGGAATAGCTTTCAAGGCTGACTTTTTCTTCATAGGATGAACGGAGCATATTGATTACTAGCGATTAATAGATTATTACAAACTCATTAGTAATCTATAGGGTATGACAAAAAAGACCAACGACTTTCAACCTATCTTTCTCAGATCATGACAGAGCTACAGAGTGTCCATAAAGTGACTACCTATGGACAGCTTTTTAATACTGAATCTGGGGGGACTCACTTTTTTATTTTTGCAGGCTGTTTAACAATAGACCTCGGAATGGTGTCCTATGCTCCTACACTCTAGTGTGACTGAGAATTCATTTTACAAACCGTTGTTTCAATTACAGGTTTAAACATTTGTAGAGTAGCACTCCGAATCGTCAGCTAGGGCAAATGGTCTCCACGATCTCCCCTTGTGATTTTTTTCCCCTGGGGCTACTTACAAGGCATTGCTTACAAGGATAATCCCACAGATCTGAACAAGTAGAAAGAAAATATCTCTCTCGCCACGAGTCCCGAAAACTGACGGAGTTCTCACGGATGTTGCCGACAATGCAATCGCCAGGGCTCAGAAATATCTGGAAATCGGCGACCGATACATTAAGCCAATTTGTCGAGTAGATTACTAATTTTTATGATTTTGAATTTCCAAAATGCTCTATTATTCAATCAATACCGTGACAACTGCAAGAAGTTGCTGCAATAAGGTCGAACGGCAAAATTTTCCTCGAATTGATGTCTGAATTTATTTCCCATTTAAATGAATAAAAAAATTATGAATCACCAGATGAGGGAAATGAATTCTCAGCC